ATTCCTCAAAAGCACAAATCTAGTTTTAAAATGTCTTCTATTATTTTCAGTGTATCTCAAGCTCGATTACCAATGCAATCCCCTTTGCAATCAGCATTTACAAGTCAACGTAACTCTGTTTCAACACAAGGTGCTTTATCGCGTCAACCAAGTCCGATGAATTCGCCTGCTCTGAATCCTTTTATATATGGCACCGATGTAGATTCTGTTGATGTCGCTACTAGAGTAGCAACTGTAAGTCAATTTTCAAACTCTTTTCTTATTTTTTTTTTTACTACTTAATTAAATTCAATTTTATAAATCTTATATACTACTTCGCAGGTTCGTTTCTTTAACTCACAAAATACTTTGGCTAATTTTGCTGAGCACACGCGTACACTACGTTTGTATCCACGTCCAGTTGTCGCCTTTCAAATAAACAGTTTCTTACGTTCGCGACCGCGTACTTCACAGTTCCTAAATCAATTCGCGCGTACACAGGCAGTGGAGTTTCTCGCTGAATGGTCATTGACGCCAACGAATGTTGCTTTCTTGCGTGTGCAAACTGGTGTTATGGATCCTATGCAAGTGGGTGATAAGCCAAAATGGTTTGCACAATCGCTCACACCAATACGTTTTTCTGTGTGGGATGATGGCAGTTCACTTAATGGAGCATTACGTTCGCTTAAGCAATTGGAATGCCAACCTACTGATGAAAGTGGTTCAGATTCTGAAGGTGCGGAGAGTTCCAGCTCATCGTACTCATCACTTAGTGACTTTGTTTCTGAAATGGTTTCATCAGATTTATCACCAAGTATACATGATGTATTTGGTTCCCATAATCGTCCGCACAATGTACCTCAGACACTGTCATCTAATTTAGATCCGGCGTTAGTTTATCATCCACCAAGTAAATTACAGTACCCAGAAGGTACGATTGAGCATGTTAGTTCTAGAGATGATGATGATCGTGCAGATTCACCTGTTTCATCTTCATCAAGTCGTTCGGATTTAAGTTCTCCAAGTTTCAATCGAGATTCAGAGTTTGATTTTCCTGCAAAAGCTGCTGGCCCCTTTGAGCTAGCGGCACCTGTAGCTATGCGTTTAGAAGCCACCATTAAAGCGGCTAGCATTGATAATGAAGCTGATGGTGTAAAAAGTACTGCACCCCATAAAATGCAGAAAAACGAAAGTGATTTAGAACGTACTGGATCGGAGAAAAAGAAAATTCCTGTAACTCTTTATTATATAAATTAAAAATATAATAGTTACATTATTTAATTGCTAAACTTTTCTAGACATCTATAACACCACCTGTTAAACAGCCAAATGTTTCTAATATATTAGCACGTACTGGTAGTTCCGGTTCGAGTTCGGGCAGTCCTGGTCGTCAAGGGTCACAAGGTTCACTTTTTGAAAACTTTGCCTCGCACGCAAAAGAACTTGTTCGTGAAACTACACGTCAGAGTAGTCAAGAAGGATTACTAGCACACATGGATAAGGTTGGTTACTTTAAATAAAACTAATTATGTTATATATAACTGTGCTAAATGTTGTTACTTTATTGTTTTTATTTAAATTATTTTATTTAAAATATTTTATTTTGTTTCCGTACTCAAAAAACAAAAAACACAATATCGGTTTTTACGTGAAAAAACAAATTAAAAACCGTAGCAATCGGTGGAAGATAATGTTACCGAAGACATTGACGAAAAAGTGCGTCACACATTTGAAAAGGTTTGTAATCGAACATTTAAAAAGCAGGACTTGGTTCTTCCTGCTCTTAAGTCACATTTGCTCACAAATTTCAATTTTCTTACTTTCACAGTAGTTCAAAATTTGGCACTCGCAATTGGCTACATTATTTTCAGTTAAACTAAATTTAAATTTAAATTAAACAAAAAGTATAAATATTTTTAATAAGAATTAAAATTGATTTCTCTAGCAATATTCATTAAGATAAAAACTAAGTATAACTCTGATAGGAATAATATCAGTTGCAGTTCTTTGACAGTTCCGAATCAATATTGGATTTAATAACCAATGTTATACGAAAGAATAATACACATTATTATTTATATCAAAATAATTAAAAATTCTGATAATTTTTACATATAAACTAGTAACTTCAATCATTCTTTATCACATTATTGTTAAATATTACGTCCTTATAACATATATAAGATATTTAATCTCATTGATATTCCAAATAAATATATTTGTAGTGGTATGGAAATATTAATTAGTTAATAAATAATTTGGCGATTATAACATATAACCTACAGCTTGAGTACATTTAACGATTATTTGAACTTTACGAAGAACAAGATAAGATTTCTGATATGAATAACAATAGGGCATTGTGGGTTGAATTATCATCTAAAGGAACTGAAAATCGGAGTTCAGGAGATTTTACAGTAAATAGTGAAACTAGTGAAATTTTAATATTTTGGTATTTATAGAACCTCAAAAAGGAATTTAAGATATTATTTAATATAGTTTCGTCTGTACTGCAAATATATACATAATAGATTGATGAAAAATCAATATCAAAATCTCAATCTCAAAATTTTTTAAACTAAAAATTTGATACTGGCTTAGAAATCTTTATGATATAGTAAATATATATTATAAATTATATTATATATATAGTTACATATAATATAGCTATCTGGTGTGATCATATTCAGACATATGAAGAACCCAACATCTTTACATTTCATTTAAAAGTTATTCCTTCATTCAATAAATAATATAAACGATTCAGTAGAGCTCACCAAAAATATATGCATATTAAACAAATATTTAAATTTTTTCCATTTTCTATTTATTCTAATTTAAAAACAAAATTTTTTTAAATTACACATTTTGTTTTAAATTTTCTTCCTTAGTACATGAATTTTTATTTTTTGTGTAGAATGAGCGAGATCCTTTGAATCCATCAAAGTGACATGATATATTTTTATTCTTTCGCAATAGTTTACGCTTCATGCCAAAAAAGCGGCTGGTGAAGCTTCCAAGCAGGCATTGGAGGTTTCTAAACAGGCAGCTGGCGTTAGCAAAAATACTTTCGATGACTTGACTTATGTGGGCAAATCGACATTGGGAGATTTGACAAAGACAGCCAAAGAAGCTGCTACCAAGAAAGGAATAATTAAAATTGATGAGAATGCGAGTAGTGTAGGTGTTCCTACAACGCAAGTGGCGACACAGAAACAAGTCCAAAATACAGGCAACACATTTTTCTCATCTATCGGGACCGATTTCAATGGCTTAGCAACTTCAACTTCAACAATGTTTTCTGGAATGTTCGGTAAAAGTAAGTAATTCGATACAATGTTACCAAATTAAAAAAATTGTTTATTAACTCAAATATAATTAATAGAAAACCAGCAAAAACAAACCCCACAGCAACAACAACAACAAACCGCTGGAAGTACACAGCAAAAGCAGAAAACGGGTTTAAATTTTGATCCTTTTCCGGGTCGTAAGGGATTAGTTGAGCGCACGCCATTAATAAAACATGCTGGGCCCCGACAAACGCAAGAAGAGTTAGCAAGACAACAGAATCAAGAACGCTCGCACAGTGATTCAGAGAATCAAGCTTTTCTGAAAGATGTGACAAGTCAAGTATTGGCAGGTGAAGGTGTTGGTTGGCTTAAATTAAATCGTTTTAAAAAATTAATGGAGGACGAATCATATCGTACATTGGTACTTAGTAAACTGAATAGAACCCTGGAGAAAAAAATCGCACCTGATGATCATATAGACGATGTGGTTTGTAGACATTTGATGTAATGTAAAAAGAAATTATTTTATTTCTTGCATTATTTTACAGTGTATACCAAAGCCGGTGTGGAAAGGAATGTTAAAGTGCTTACAAGCAGTTAGTTCTGGCTTAGAAGTTACATTTTCAAATTTTGGATTAGGTGGTATGGCATCAGTTTTTCAAATGATGGAAATTGCACACACACATTTTTGGAGTAAAGAATTTAACGAAGCAAGCGATATGTCTTCTAGTTTACTATCCAGTCATGTAACAAGTCCAATGGGGAGTCGTGAAAATTTACGTTCACCTGCAAGCCCAAATGGTTCTCACTCAGGCTTAGGTAGCGAGTGGGCTTCCCAAACAGCTTCACCGCAGGAATCACGTAAAAGTTCAACACACACAGATCGAATGGGTCATACTACCGCTGCACGTAGATTGTCTTCCACTGAAAGTCAAGACGGACAGTCAACTACAGAAATGTTTAAAGATATGTTAGCACAAAAGCGCACAGCTTTGCTCAGCAAGTTAACGTCTTTCGATTCCGATGTAAGTGCTTATTGAAGTATAATTGTTTTCTGTAAATATAAAAATTACTATAATCAAAATATTACTTAGTTGTCTTAGTTGATGTTTGCTAACCATTTAACCCATCTAATTAGTAATCATTCACATATAGTATTATGCCTTACCAGTAATGTTGCTGCTTAAAACTGTAGACACAAACATTCCTTAAACACGTAGAGTCCAAGAACCTCATTTGCTTTTAGTCTGGTATTCGTTTAATGTAGTATGTGGTATATTGACTTTATAAAGACTTCAGTTGATTTAATATAGTTACTATTATATACTCGATATTATTGTTGTACTTAAACTGAATGCCTGTTGCATCATTGTTGTAATAGCTGAAGATTGTTGTGCTTAATATATACCTTAGGTACATAGTACTCGTATAGTCTTTATGTCTCATATGTGATATAAATACAATTGCATTCAATTCGTAGGGTGCTGGCTCTACGGGTGCTCTCTCCGTGGTCAGTGATCTCTTGCCAAGCGGTAGCTTGGGCGTACGAATGCCTGCCAGTTGTCGTTCAACTGTGTCTGATACTGAATACGAAAATGTAAGTAAATGCTAAGATAAGAAAAAAAAATTGAAGCGCTTGATCATGCTTCATTGATTATGGGCCCCTGAATTGGTCTGTAAAGTTAGATTTGAAATATTAAGCTGTACAAATTAATTTATTTATGTGTATGAAAAATTAACTGCTTAAAATATTATTCAAACATATAGTCAAGTTAATTGAATACTATCTTATAGACAACCACTTCGAAGGATTCAAAGCGAAGTTCAGGAAACCTTTGGTCAGGAAAATCAACACTAAGTGCAGGTTTTCGCTATACAGGTGGACATTTAATAAACACCTCATCTTCACCATCACCAGATAGCCCAAGAGTATATGTCTTTGAAGGCTTATTAGGTAAGGATCGTTCAAATTTGTGGAACCAAATGCAATTTTGGGAAGATGCGTTTTTGGATGCCGTAAGTCAAGAACGAGATATGATTGGCATGGATCAGGTTAGAGAAATATAATATTATTTAAATATGTTTTGTTTAAATTCGACGTGACGATAAAAACAAAACTTAATAAATATTAAATCAAAAACTTTTGATTAATATTACAGGGTCCCATAGAAATGATGGAGCGTTATAAAGCATTAAGTGAATCTGAAAGAAAACGTTTAGAACATGATGAAGATCGTTTGTTATCAACTATGTTATACAATTTGACTGCAATATTGGTTATGCTGAATGTTAGTAAAGAAGAAATACGCCGCAAAATACGTAGACTGCTTGGAAAGAGTCATATAGGTTTGGTATACTCTCAAGAGGTCCACAATTTGGTAGATCAAATCAATAATTTGGTAAGTAAAATATTATACAATATTATACAATTATTATGACTGCAATATTTTGTAGAATAGTAAAACAGTGAATAGTCACTCAATAAATTATCTGACACTTATATTTGCTTATCTTTCATATAATGCATATAAATGCAATATATGTATATTTTATATTTATCATTAAATTAAAAAAAAATTTACGTTATTATTAATATGTTTGCTCATTTCGTAGAATGGCAATGGAATTGATTTGAAACCTCTTGGATCTAGACTTTTGCA